TTTAAAGGACTTGCATCCAAATTGCCATCTACCATCTGGGTATTTGACAAAAAGAATTTGGGTTTTTAAAAAAAAGCCTCCCCTTAGTCCACTTCTAAACCCACATAAAAGCAGTTTGGGACTGGTCAGAGCCCCACAGAAAGAAACAGGAGACTGAGATTTTTGGATAAAAGTTTTTCTTTCTTACGGAGATAATTGGCAATAATACTGACTTTCAGCCTAGGCTCCATATCCTTTATCTTGATCAGAAAACATTTTGGATAGAAAGGTGGGGTGGGGGTGAACTCATTGCCTGCAGTGACTCCCGCACAGGGACCCTGAATAAGACATTCATTGGCAGAAAAGCGGTGGTTACTGAAAATGGCTGGGGGAAGGGTGGAGAGGAGGGGGAGTGGAGTGGGGCTTGGGTTCCTTCCTCCTCAGGGGAGCTATTTTTTGCTTTACATGCAAAGAATTGCTTTGTACAGCCAAGTTGGTCTTGATCTTGTTTACATTAAAAAATCGAACATTTATTTTGCGCTGGGTTATTTTTTTCTTCCTTTGCCATTCAGAGGGTCCTAGGCAAATCAATAAACAAAGACCCTGCTCTGTTTTCACTTTGTGGTGGGGGATTGGACTGGGTAACCCTTCAGTGACTGGATTAGCTTTTTCTGTGGGGACTGACATTTGCTGCTTTGGTCAGATGAGTTGTCAGTGACATGCTGGTCGTGCTGGAGACCTAGAGCCTCATGGGACAGTGGAAGGACATGCAGGACCTCCGTCCAGAAGGTTATGTGGCAGATGGTGAAAGCAGGAAAGAAAGAAAGCTCTCCTCTCTGGTCTCCGTGAAGTTAGCTGAAGCCCTGAGGCATGGGATTTGGTTACTCTAATCTTAGCCCAGTCAACAGCTAGCATTATTGCTGATCATTAAATTAACCAAAATGCCTTTAAAAACTGCAGCCCTGATATTTGACTCTGCAGTGTTTTGTGATATGAAATTCTATAGTTGGGCTCCATGCTGGGGGCAAAACAATTTTCTTTTTTTTTCTTTTTCTAAATTCACCTGCCATGAACTTGGACTGACCCTTTGTTCTTTTGTTTTGGAACAACATGAAAAATAAGAGAAAAACATAATCATGGTAAAAGCCTTCTCTTAACCAATGTTGAGCTAGTGACTCTCCACCTGTTAAAGTTTGCAACAGTGGCTTTCATAGTGGTTCATCATGTATACATCCAACCATTTTAATTCTTCTTTATTCCCATTGACTTTGATTGGAGCCACACGGTTGAGATCAGGGAGAATAAGGGCTTTGGTATTAGGCAGACCTGGGTTTGGGTACTTATTCCATTCCTTAGACAAGTTATGTAACCTCTCTAAGCTCTGTTTGCTCATCTATATAATAGAAATGCTGAGACTTATTTTAGTGATAATATCTACAAAGATCTTATCATACTATAGCATACCACCCACAGGCTCCCAATACATGGACCTTGTTACTGATTTCATTTTTCAAACTCAGAAGTGTGTGGTGACAGGGTTCCTCAAAGCAAGAGGGCCTGTGTCACCACTAGTCTGGTTGCAGTGACTTTTCACTCTTTCAAAGGATTCTAGAACAATCGTTAGTGGTATGATCAATGATATGTGTCATACATAATATATTTATTTGTGTGCATGTAAGTATATCAAACATGCTCTACCAAACACTCCCCAAAAATGAAAGTAAATTAATTTGAATTAAGCACATTTTTTTTTGTCAAACTATATTGTTGCCCAAATTGGACATAGCTCATTACTTTGAGTATACACATGATTGAACAAGTATAAAGTAGTAGAAAAAATATTGAACTCATCAAGATATTTATGAGTCTAGGTTCAGCCACTTACTAGCTGTATATATTTGGATAAATTATTTAACTACTTTGTTAGCTGGAAAAGTATATAGATACTAATTAATATCGGTGGATACAAAAGTAATTGTAGTTTTTTTTTTGCCATTACTTTAAATGGCAAAACCTGCAACTATTTTTGCGCCAACCTAATAGCTAATATTTAATGAGAATTTACAAGTGACCAGGCACAGTTCTAAACTCTTCACATATATCAGACTCATTTAACAATTACTTGAGTACGATCCCATGGGATAGGAACTATGCTTAGCCCCATTTTGCAGATGGGACTGCTGAAGTTCATGAGATTAAGTATCTTGCCCAAGTCACACAGATGGAAGGTGGTAGAGATAAAATCTGAACACAGAGAGTTTGACTCGAGTCCATTCTTTTAGCCACTTTACTAGTCTCCGTTTAGTAGTCATACAAAGGACTGGGGGCCACAGATCTGAGTGTGAGCCCAGTAGCATCCTTTGTAGCTATGCCATCCATATGCGATTTCTACCTAGACATTTTCACCTAGATTTCTTCCTAGAGAATTTATTGGCTTTGGCTCAGATAAGGGGCTTGCAGCAATTTGAGTGTAATAACATGACATGATAAAAACCATGTGAAAAGACCAAGTTAGTGTGAAGTCATACCTCATGAAAGGATTAGAGTCTAGAAGTCCCTGCTGGGGGGTGAAAATGATGTAGAACCAAAATTACCCTTGAAAATCCCTTAAATTGTTCACCACATTCTGCGTACCTAATTCCATGCACACAGCCTGTTACAACACTGATAAACCACAAGGCCATGGGCTCGCTACAAACTCGGGTGGGCACTCTACATGTTCCAATGACCAGCCTTTCCCTCCCTGTGACAACACTATTTAAATTCATGTTCTTTCTTACCGACTGTATAAAAATTCAAGTCATGACTTTATTTTTTATTTGTTTCTTTCTCTGACTCTAGTTTTCTTTCTGTTCTGTAAATGTAGTATTCAACAAGGTTTAAAGCATGCTTCTTGAATCTTTGTTCTTCTGCAACATGGTTTTCAGCTCTGACACCCACTGAACCTACCACTTAGTCCAACGCCCCAGTTACTGAGGGTCCCCTGTGTGCCAAGTTCTGTGTTTGCTGTACTCCTGCCCCTCAGAAAGCCCCCAACCTACAACCTCCTTCTGAACATTTCCACTTAGAAGTCATGCCATGTCTTCATCTTAGCCTGTTTAAACCTGAGCTGGTTGTCTCTCTTGCCTTTTGGGAGTTACTTCCTGACTTCCTTCTCTCTGTTTCTGGCAGCAGCTTCTCCCTGTCTGTTGATCCTGACACCACAATACCATCATAAGAATCTCCTCTCTCTTGTCCCCCATGCCTGAAAAGGCACCAGGTCCTGACTTCTATAATATTTTATTTCTTTTGCCTCCAAACTATTCCAGGAGCCCCCATCAGTATCTGGCCTCCTGTACTTCTCCAGTTTCATTAGGACATGCGTGTTTGTGAGATTAATTTTCCTTAAAAATTCTTTGTACTGCTTCCAAGATAATCTAAATGCAATTTGACTACAACCTAGTGATCCAGGGTAATCTGTGTCTCTGCTTCTACAAATTCTACAGGAATACTTTTCTTTAGTCACATAGTTGTGTTTCTTACTGTTTCTCTGCCTGAATACCCTATACTTATTGTAAAGATAGCAATTCTCAAAATTAATCTACACATTTAATGGAGTTGCAAATTGAGGTGCAAATGGGTTTATTTTTGTAACTTGTAAAATTTATCTGTAGGAATAGATGCACATGAATAGCAAAAAATATTAAAAAGGAAGGAATTGAAGGGAAATGTACACTAACTAGATATTAAATTGTGAAGTTACATTCAAATAAATATGCAGAAATTTTATCAGAATAGATAGAACAATGAAATAAGACAACCCTAAATATGAGGATATATTTCTTTTTAGTAGTGAAAAAGGATTTTTTTAATGTGAAATGATTAGTTTCATTTATCCACTAAATGAAGCTAATGTAATTTTGATTTAAAAAATCAAGTCAATCTTTTACCTCTCACCAATAAAACAAATCCTGAGAAGATAAAAAATTGAAAAGATAAAATATGCCACAAAAGCACTGGAAGAAATCTTAGTTAACTATTTATATAATCTGGATATGTGGGAGGTCTTTTTAGCCATAAACTGAAGGCAAAAACCATAAAAAACACATTTGGATATGTAACTACATAGATATGAAATTATACATCAAAGGTATCATAAACAGAATTGAAAAGCAAATGGCAAAACTGAGAAAAGTATTTGTAACATATGAAACAAACAAAAGATTAATATATTCAATATGTAAAGAATCACTAAGAGCCTATAAGAAAAAAATTAACACTACAATTGAAACAAAGGGGCAAAGGCTAAAAACTGGCAATTCATAGAGAAGAAATATAAATGGTCAATAAAATATAAAAACGTGTTTAACCTTGCTTCTAATCAAATAAATGCAAATTTAAACAAATTACTGCTAAGTAAGACTTTCTTTTTATTTATTAACTTCTGTACTTCTTGACAACTTTTAAAAGGAACATGCAAATAAAATAAAAAGAGTAAACTGTGCTACTGTGAAACTTGTGTAAACGTGTAAAGCACTCACTGTCTTCTGGATCTTAAGAATATTCTTATAGGAGTATGCTTATTAGAAAGCTATCTGTTAACAAATACATTGTTAAGAGAAAAAAGTAGCCTATAAATCAGAATGCATAATAAGATCCCACGTTGGTGAAAATACATGTAGAAATATTAAAAGATGGAAGAAAATCTAGGTGCATATATAATAAAATGTTAATGGATTATTTCTGAATATTGCAAATATGGATAATTTTTTAATTTTCTTGTTGTTGTATATACATTTTCTAGTTTTTCAACCATAAGCTTTATTGCTTGAAGAAAACTTTTAAGTATAACACACATGTAGAAAATTTTGTAACTTGTAAGTGCCAGCCTGATGTATAACCACAAAGTGAGCAAAACCACTGTATTAGTTTCATAATTTTAGCATCTTTTGCAACCTGGATAGGCCAATAATTCTAAAATTATCAAGTGCTAGTTATTTGTTGATTAGCAGTTCTTTCCTCAGTTTATCTCTTTCCTCTAGTGTTGTACTACAAGCAGCAGCAAGGAAAAGCCAGGCCGCACCTTCCACACTTTACTTGGAAATCTCCTCAGGTAAATATTTAACTTCATGGCTTATACATTCTTCCTTACACTCAATGTTAGAACTAAATTCAGCCAAGGTTTTCTCACTTTATAACAGGCATAACTTTCCCTGTTTTCAAAAACATATTCCACATTTCCTTCTGAGACCTCACCAGAAGTGCCTTTATCACTTGTATTTCTTTTAAGATTCTATTTTTGATGATACATATGTTCTCTAAGGTGGTAGAACTATTCTCTTGCCTGCCCTTCTCTTCTTTCTAACTCCTCAACAGAATGCCCTTTAAAGTCCATATCTCTGTCAACCATCTCTGCAGGTTAACCTATATCTTTTCTATCAGGTGCCTCAAAATTCTTCTAGCTTCTGCCTTTTAGCCAATTCCAAGGCCACTTCCACATTTTTTTAGTTTTTTGTTACATCAATACCCCATTTTCCAGGACCAAAACCTGTACTGGTTTCCTACAGCTGTTGTAACAAATTACCTCAAACAAGGAATGACTTAAAACAACAGAAATTTATTATCTCACATTCTGGAGACCAAAAGTCCAAAGTCTCTAGATCTTGGCTGAGCTAGCCTACTTCTGAAGGCCTAAGAGAAAAACCCTTTCTTGCCTCTTCCAGCTTCTGGTGGCTCCTGGTGTTCCTTGGCTTGTGGAAGCATAACTTTAGTCTCTACTTCTGTTTTCACTTGAGTTTTCACATGAACTTCTCCTTTCTGTATCTCCCTGTGCCTTTTTCTTTTCTGTCTCTTATTAGGACATTAATCATTGGATTTAGGGCTTGTCCTAATCCAGGATGACCTCATCTTGATTACATTTGCAAAGACTTTTTTCCAAATAAGCCCACATTCCAAGATTCTGGGTAGACACTATTCAGTGCACTATAGTTACGCAGCTAACATCTAGGTCAAGAAATAGAATGTCCTTATGCCTTCTGACAGTCCCTATCTCTCTCTCATCTCCATAGGTTATTACTATCCCTCCTAACAAAAGAAATTGTCTTACCTGTTTTTAAGCTTTATATAAATAGAAACATATGCAATGCAGCCTTTTACATCTAATTTATTTGGCTCAATATTGTATTTTTGAAATTTCCCTTTGTTTTTGCATATAGCAGTGTTTTCTTAATTTTATTTCTACATAGTATAATACATGGTATATCACATACTTTACCATTCTACATTTGTTTTGTGTGTGTTTTTTGTTTGTTTTACTTTTTCAACTTTTACTTTAGATTCAGAGGGTACATGTGCAGGTTTGTTACCTGGGTATATCATATGATACTGTGATTGGGGTATGAATGATTCCCATCACCAGGTACTGAGCATAGTATCCAACACTACTCTACTTTGATAGATATTTAGGCTTTTCCTAAATGGGAAAAAACTAAGTTTGGGGTTATTATGAATAATGCTCTTTTGAAAATTCTTGCACATGTTATTTGGTACACAGATGTAAGCGCTTTAGTGAGGTGTACACTTAAAAGTAGAATTGTTAAATTATAGGGTATTTGTATGTTCAGATTTAAGAGTTACTTTAAATAGTTTTCTAAAGTGGCTATGTAAATTTGCACCCCCACAGGGACGTGTTTGAAAATTCCAGTTGCTTCACATCCTCGTCTTTATTTGGTATTGTCAACCTTTTCTTATTTTAGCCAGTCTGGTGGGTGTGTAGCAGTATCTCATTGGGGTCTTAATTTACATTTTCTGGATAACTAATGACAGAGCGTACTTTTTCATATGTTTATGCATTGCTTTTTATATATAAATACAAGAGTGTAAGGTTGTGTTGAAAAAGTGCTCTCCTGTCACAAACATTTCTATGGAGCCATCCAGGAGAGCTTACATTAAGAGAATCCCTCAAAAATAAGCTGGTGAGAGAAAGCTCACTTTAGTCTAGAGATAAATCCCCTTTTCTTCCCTGCCTGTTTTCTAGTCTTCTCCTTTGTTCCAGTTGGTAAAAGATTATCTAGGTGATGTTTTGCGAGCTTTTTAAAAAAAATCTGTTAATGGCAAAATTCTCTTGAATTACTCTTCAACTTTCAAAAGTTCACTCCTTTCCCTATACACATATCTCACGCCTATAAGAAATGGTCTCCAATACCACGGCAGCCTAAGTGAGGCATAGTTACCTAATTTAGGCTTTGCCTTTTTGGTGTTATGTAGTTGTTTTTCATCACTAACCACTTGTTTCCCTAAACTCCTGGCAGAATTAGAGATCTAGCCCCTTTTCTGCATTAGGCTGTGATGAATCATGTCAATTGCAAATAATTTGTCTTGTTAAAGAGGACAGATATGGCTATGAATAACTCAAATATGTGAAAGATCAAGAGTATGTTGGATGACAGGTTTGGGACTAACAGTGGCAACTGCTGACATTTGCTGCATGGTTGCTTTGAGCCAGGCCCTGTGCTAAGCCCTTCGTTGACATGACTGAAGTATTCTTCACAATAGCCCCATGAAAGGCAGTGAAGGGAAATTAGAAAGCAATGAACTGTCAGCCGACTTTGCAGGAGCAGCTTATGCGAGTTCTGGGTATTTGACCTCGCTTCTTTCACTACTATGATCTCTATCAGAAGAGCAAGCCCCAGGTAGTTGTAGCCCTTTGCCCTTGGTATCAGTATGGATTTTCAGGTAGAGCAGACCTGAATGCACCTGGAAGCCTGAGTTCAGCCTAGAATACCAGAATCCCACCCCAATCTGCAGACCCATGAGTATAAAATAAATATGTACCTTAAAGCTATATGCAACAGTCCCTTGTGTTAGCTTTAAACTATTGAAATTTTGAGAGAACGTTCGTTATTATTTGATAGGAACTGAATAATAGAGCAGTACTCTTTTTACATCACTTTCCTCAATGAGTAAATTTAGGCTTGGGGAAATTAAACAATATCCATAGATAACAACCTAGTAAGAGAGGGAGCCAGGATTCAAGCCAGGACTGCCTTATTTCTGAAGAGTCCATGCTCTTAACCGCTACGCTGTATCTCCTTTCAAATTTGCAACAGGCTGGGGCGATGGGTCAAAAACAATAGGATGGAGTTTAATTGGAAGGAATGCATGACTCAACGTGTCAGTTAAAACAACAGCAACAAAAATAATAGTAACTAGGATACAAGCAGAGCATGAGCAAGGTGCTCCCTGAGCACAGACCTAGTGGTGAGAATCAAAGACTCAAAGCTCAGCTGAGATGGAAAAGTGGCTCGGTACCAGGTCATGTTAGTGGAAGTGTACTGTCTGGAAAAAAGAAAATGGCAATTGTTTCTTCTCTAGCTGATCAAAGGACACCTGAAATATTACATTTTGTTCCAGGCAACACATTTTAAGAGGAATATTGACAAGCTAAACTACGTCCAGATGAGAGCAAACAAGATGCTGAGAAAACTCATAGCAGTTGTAAAGTAAAAGAGCGTAAGTATTTAACCCAAAGAAGAGAAGCCTCCAGAAGGAGTGATGGCTGTCTTAGGACACCTAACATGCTAAAAGGGGCAACAGGGAGGCCAAGTTGTAATCCCCTCTCTCCTGGACGACCACCACTGCCCACAGCAGCCATTGCATTCACCATGCGCACGGTGACCTTTACCAAACACAAATGTGACTTTATTATCATGGCTCCCCACACTTCTTCCCTTAGCAAACACTCTCAGTGCAAACACGTCCATATATACAGCCACAGATATACATACACACACACACCCCCCTACATATATGGTCTTCTACGTACAGTTACACACACATACACACACCCTACATATATCGTCTTCTACGTATGGTTTATTCAGAACATAAGGGCAAAGCTCAAATGATAATGCTTTGTTAGAGGTCTGGGGACAAAGAGCCAGGTAGAAGAGAATTAAGTTATAGAACAAAGGGAAAAAATATGAAGTGATGGTGTGATTATGATGCCAGATACAGCTCCACAAAGAGATGCACACGGTTGGTGGCTTGGTCAATAGGATATTACCAGACAGGCCATAAGGAACCACTAAGCCTCTGATATTCCACTAAAGGGAGGAAGAACAGGGTGGAAAAACCTATTTGTTGAGTCTTTCCCATTTCCTATGGATGCATTCCCTATGGAAGTCAGATCCCAGTCCCTCCGACAGCTGATAGGATGAAACTCCAGTGGCAGGAAGAGGCACAGCCTCCATGGGATGGCAAGGTTGGGTCTGGGCACCCAGGGCCATGCTGGAGCCCACATTGGTGGCCTATCTGCATGCAGATGGGGCTAGTGTGAGGTGGCAGCTCCTGAGGCTGCATCATCCAGGGTGCTCCAGGAGTAGGCAGTCAAGGGTTTGGGAGAGGGTTGAGGAGAATAGAATCTGAAGGTACATATATAGGGTCCAAAACACACACACACACGCACAATTCTTCAGTTGTTCCCACTACTTTTAGAATAAGGATAAAATCCTTTGCATGGCTTTTGCCCATTCACCTTAGGTTGGAGTCACTGTGGGTTTCTTTTGGTTCCTTGCATGCATTGTGATCCCTCTTGCCTTGAGCTTGTTCTCTCTGGAACATCATTGGCCCTTAATGCCATCCAAGAGTTAATTCCTATTAATCCTTCAGCTCTCAGCTTGTTATGACTTCTTCAGAGGAGGATTTCCAACAAACCACTTCCCTGCCACCTACCCTGCAGCCTAGGAGACTAGGATAGTTCTACGTCAGAGAACTATCCTTTCTCTTTCCTTCACAGTACTTAGCCCATACCCATCAGTCATGTTTGATTAATGTCTGTCTCCCAAACTACATAATAAGCTCCATGAGTGCAAGCAATGTCTCTTGTTCCCCAGTTTTCCAATGCACCCCCAGTTTCTGCAATGCCTGACACCAGAGCAAGTGCTCATTAAACACACAAACAGCTTCAAAATAAGAGAGGAATTATAGAGACATTGCATGACAAATGAAGACCAGTTTGTACATTATAGTTATCCCCAAAAAAGTATGGGCTGCCTCGGGTGGATTTCATTTCTCTGTTAGTGAATTCTAAATTGATTCATACACCAGATAAGGGTTGGCTGAGATAACTTGAGAAAGTTAGTTCTGAGAATTTGTGCTCTGAATGCTCCATGCATTCAAATCATGCCTTGGTATTAAATTATGCTCAGGCTCTCTTCATTCTTTCCACTGGCACTGTCCCTTTCCTTTTTGATTTCCCAGCCCATGGAGCATTTCGGAAGCATTTCGGAAGCATTTGACACTTCCAGCTTGAGACTCAGGAGTCTTGACCCTGTGGGTCATTCTTGTTGTCCTTTCTGCTTCTGGTGGTTTGAGTCTGTGATCCAAAGAATGGGGCTAAATTTGTTTATTCTGCCCATTCCAACACCCAGATTTGGAGAGGATGTGTTGATGGGGAAGCTCACAGACTGTCGGATTCAGTCGGGGTAGGATGCTGAGTAGAGATCGGGAGGAGGTGAGCAGGAGCGGAGAGAGACAGCACAAGGCAGCCTGTCACTAGCTAACATGATCTGAGCACGTCTCAGCAACTTCTCAAAGGCTGGATCTTAGAGTATCCCAAGGATGAACACATAGTGTTGCTTAGCACACTTCTACTATAACATGTTGTTGGCTCTGGACAGCTTAGCATGTGCAAAAAGCAAGGATCCCCAAAGGCCGGCCTGTGTAGCAGTTTATTTCTTTAAGAGTTTGTTTTTTTTTGCAACGTTCTAATGTTCATGGCCTATGGTTTGCCCTGGTGAATGCTTGTTAATGCAGTTTCATTGTTGCCTAGGGAAAAAGAACCCCAGTGACCCACTATAATAACCACTTTAATGTGGGGCCTCTGCTTTGGGCCTGTGTAGGATCCTTTTAACAAATGAGCTAAAGTGGCCAAAGTTATATGAGGCAGCATTGCCAGAGGTTTGTGATAAAATCTCTAGTTACTGCCCGGGACAGTGTGAACCCTGTCAGTCTGAGGATTAACTTTTCTGTAGTAACAGCTAAGACTTTTTCTTTTTAAGGTTTCACTGCATGCCAGGCACTGTGCTGGGTGGTAGGGCTGAGGATAGGGAGATGCTTTTGTTTGCATGATTTCTATTAGTCATCATCATAACTCTCTAAGGTAGATGTTATTATTCCTGCTTTACCAGTGAGAAAATGAAGACTTAAATGGTTCGGGCGACACATCCAGGGCCACAAGGTCACACAGGAAACAAATATTGGGACTTGGATTCTGCTCCAGGCCCATTACCTGTCCCACACCAGGCTGCCTCGGAAATAACTTGAGCCATTTGGAGTAAGGCTGGGTATTTGGCCCCCATTAGTAACAGGAGTGAGGCTATTTCTCCACTTCACCTGAGACCTTTCAAAGAGTGAATTGGGGATTGCATCTATGAGCCTTTCAGCTGGGCATTCTCCATCTTTCCTAGGAAACATGCAGAAGGTGTTGACAAATATCAGAATAAATCAGAAAACTTTTGACCAATCATTGCTGTTTGTTCAGCTACTCGTCTTAAATTTCCATTCCAATGATGAACTAAACATTTTCCTTTGTCTGTCAGATTTCAACAGGTACTTTAAATTCCCCAAATAACACCCACTTCACTGAGTTGTTGTAAGGAGAAACGGTAACTTATAATGAAATGCACATATGATCACATTCTCACTATCACCTCATTACATTACATAAATATTAAGATCTGTAACATGCAGAAAGTTGAAATATACATATACCGACAAAAGAATCTGACACAATGTTTAATACTGAGCAACAAATTTGGCTCTGAGCTTCCATCTGGTTTAAGTAAAAATGGAAACAAGATCGGGTATATAGAACCAATTTTCATACAGAAAAAAGCTATAGAAAATGTAGTTTCTCAAGGGACATGGAAATATCCCTGGCACTTAGATCTGAAATAAATTTCTTTAGAAGATTGAAAAGGACAATAAAGTATGTAGTGACTATTGTCCTCATCATCCCTCCTCCCCCATTTAATTCAATAGTACTCTTACGGTGTCTTCATATTATAAAAAGTCAAAATACCAAAATGCAGTCGTTTTAAAGGAATACTGAAAAAGGACTAAAAGATTACGGTTCACTCTGCAGATAACTGACTGGGTATATATAGGAATGAATCTGGCTCTAGTGTTAAATCATTTGAGGTCCTTTTACAGGCAGGCACTAGTAATTAAAACTGAAAACTAAGTAAGTTTATTTTTGAGAAATGTTAAAAATGTCTTTAGGAAATCACTAAATAGTACTTAATTGGAAGAAAAAATCATGATGCTTATACAATAAATATAAATAAATGCTATATAAGGAAACTCACCTATTTGAAATTATGGCTATATTATTTTTAGTTTCTAGATTCCAAAAATACAAACACTAGTTTTTCCAACATAGTACTTTGATAGTCTGTACATTGATGGGTATGGACTAAATCCAGGGTGAAATCAAGGTTACAAAATTTAAGGGTATGTTAACTAAAGGATAGCATTTCTAAGATACTTTGAATATTAGGTCATTTGGCATTTTTCAATAAGTAGAATACTTCTCATTTTTTGAAACTATATGAATACGGAAAAAAAATGGCTTAAGACCAGCGTCTGTGTGTGACATTGTATGGTTGACCCTCTGGGATAACTGTTTTCATCTAGAGAATTGAATTTTTGTTTTTACGAGGTCTTATAGTGGAACTAGGAATCACTGTTTTGAGAGAACCTGCATATATACCAGTCATTGTTTGGTCCTTGTACAGTTTTAACTTAGATTTATTCTAGTTAAGCCATAAGTTCAACGTGTAAACTTGTTTTGATTAAAGAATTTTTCTATCAAAAAAAAGATTATGGTTCATTGGCACATATTTCTGGAGCTTCAATGAATCCAGGATTAAAATCTAAAATCAAAAATAGATGAAATGCATATATTTGTATTTATCTTCTATAAATGACATTTTAATCAATAGAACTTGAAACGAGAGTTGAACAAAAGTGAGTTTGAGGTTGTATAAGGACAAATGTGGCCTCGGAATTTCTTCATGACAGTAGGCTTAAGAGAGGAAGCTTTATGGCAAGTACAGGTACTGAGTGGGTGACCAATGTTTTCCAGTTCACCAGAACTTTCCCAGTTTTGAGGCTAAAAATTTTGCATCCTCACACCCTGCTACCCTGCCAGTCTTAGTCCCAGGGAAACTGGGACAGTTAGTGATATGATTTGGATTTATATTCCCACCCAAATGTCATGTCAAATTGTAATCCCCAATGTTGGAAGAGGGGCTTGGTGGGAGGTGATAGATCATAGAGGGAAGACTTCCCCCTTGCTGTTCTTGTGATAGCGAGTGAGTTCTCACGAGATCTGGTTGTTTAAAAGTGTGTAGCACTTCTCCCTTCACTCTCTTCCTCCTTCTCCAGCTATGTAAGACATGCCTGCTTCCTCTTCACCTTCTTCCATGATTGTAAGTTTCCTGAGGCCTCTCCAGCCCTGCTTCCTGTACAGCCTGCAGAACCATCAGCCAATTAAACCTCTTTTCTTTATAAATTGCCCAGTCTCAGGTAATTCTTTATAGCAGTGCAAAAAAGGACTAACATAGTTGGTCACTCTAGTGCTAGGATAGATGTTTCAAAGCCACATTTGCATAGCAAGCACACTGTTTTGACTTGGATTGCATGTTTACCTAGGGGTGGCTTTGGGGGAAACTGATGGCTTTTCCCCTCAGACCCAATGCAGGTGCTCTGTTGTCAAATCTGAATGCTTTAGCAGTGTGATGAGTGGTGGAGTCCTATCTTAATGTAAACCTGAGGAACCTAAACAAGACACCCTGCTGACTATACATCCATCCCACCTCGCCCCTCAGTGGGTAGAAAAATCCTAGGTCAAAACAAGCATGGGGGAGTTTTCTTCACTGAATTTCTTTTGAAAATTAAAGAGAACAGCCTAATGTCATAAAAAAACCCTGAGCTTCAGAGTTGGCTTACCAAAGTGAGCCTTCTGGCTTTGCCACTGATTAGCTGTGGGATTTGGAGCCATTCACTTAACCCTATTGAGGCTTAGTTTTCTCATCTGTAAAGTGGCCACAGGGATGTTATGAAAATTAACTGAGATACTTGAAAGCCCTTGGCATAGTGCCCAGTTCAACAAATACCCGTTTCCTTCTCCTTTTCCCTTCTCCATCTAGGATGAGTGAGGTTCTGCCTGCAGGTAGGAGATTTGAACTAAAACAATAATTGTTCTTTAGATAAACCTAGCAGTTGGAATATTCCCACTGCACCACAATGATGAATGGAGAACTGAACGTCTCAGGGCCGTTCCTAAGTTTGGTTTGTCTGCTTGCAAAAGATGCGATTTTGCAAAGTGCTTTATAGATACTAAATATTAGTTTGGCTGTATCTAAAACATATTTGGACTATAGAATCTCTTCTTTAGCCAGTGAAAGTGTGTGTATTCTCTTTCCTTTTTTGGCTAGAATCATTTTTTCTCTACTGTTACCTTCTATGTTGTTAGATTTACTAGTTGTGGGCTCTTGGGCAAGTTATTTCCCTTTAGTAGACTTAATCTCCTTAAAACAAAAGGGTGAAACTAGACAGTTTATAAGGCCCCTTAAGCTCCAGCATAATGTTATATGGGGAATAATGTTACTTTATTAATTTAGCAGATATTTATTGAACATTACTTAGTCTTAATAGTACTTGGTACTACTTAGTACTTGGTACTACTTAGTCTTAGTAGTACTTGATACTACTTAAGTACCAAGCACAAATGCACTAACCGAGGATACAGCAGAAACAAAACAAGCAAAATTTCTGCTCTCATGGAACTTACATACTAGTGAAGGAGGCAGAAAACAAAGTATAAATGAGTATACACATTTCAGGGGTGGCAAGTGCTGCAAACGAGAGTGAAGCAGGGAGAAGGGAGAAGGAGTGATAGTAATGGTGAGGTGGGGAGGCTGAATCCGATGGTGCTTTTGAGATGTGGTGGGTAGGAAACTTCTCTCCAGTAGCTGCACAAATGTGCAGAGACCTTAATGAAGTGCAGAACAAGCCATGCAGATACAAGGGAAGGGGTGTTCTGAGCAGAGGATACAGTATGTGCAAAGGCCCTGAGGTTGGAGCATATGTGCAGTTACAGGGGATATCAGGGAGGCCAGTGTGACTCTGAGTTGTGTGAGCCTGGGGAGAGTAATTAGGGATGAAGCCAGGGAGGGGGGAGGGGGTTGGGTGTCTGATGACATAGGGTGACAAGAATAGCTCACCATCGGCTCAGAATCTATACCCAGCACATGTTCTCCTGCTGATCCTAGTGCAGGATCAAAGCCCATCTGCTTCTCCTCTCTAATTTCTAGGTGCTGGCTTCCCACCATCACACTTTCCATGACACTGTGTTTTTTAACCTCATCGGATGCATGAGGAAGCGTCTTCACAGATCATCAGTCCCACTAGGGCACTAGAGGGCTCAGAAGTCCAACTATCTGGCCTGCTATTCCCCATTTTTATAGGGATGAGGGCTGACCCAGGTGCCTTCTTTCCTCACCTCCCTACCTGGACTGGTCCTCAGAGGTGTGGAGGACATGCAGTGTGTTTAGTAAGAAAATTAACACGTGCTATTTCCCATCATGTTAAATATGGAACAGTGTGATGGAAAGCAAACTTTGGGGAAAGGTAAACCCCTGTTTCGTTAATGCGTCAGCAAGATTTCCCCCAATGGCTCTGTGCTTGCTCTAAGCCGGATTTACACCAAGCTTACCCTTCTCAGCACCTGTTTTTCTCTTATGTAAGGGGAAAAATTGTCTTGAAAATCTGCACTGGGCATTTGCCATGCTAGACGGAGAAACACCAAAGTTTAACCTTTGTTTTTTCAATTATCTGGCTAGTCACTAAGTACTGGCCTCCTACGTCCAGCTGAAGCTATGCTATGTCTTTAAGGGGGATGTGGAAAATCTCCCTCTTTATCAGAGTACTCAGTGAAGATATTGATAGAATATTTATTTCCATGGGATTGACTGCCTCCTTATACTCCAAGGAACTGGCAGAGTCTAGGACAAGCCACTCAAGACTTAATGCATTTGAAACCATCCCTAACCATTTCATGTTCTGGGAATTCTCTGTGTTCAATAAAGGGATGTTAATAACATATTTTTGAGTGGCTGCAAAGTTCTAGGAACAATGCCAGATCCTTTTTACATAAATCATCTCCTTTAGTCTTGGCACAAGACTGGGATGGTGGATTTGATGATCCCCACCTTTCAAGTGAGGCTCAGGTGAAGCACCTAAAGTCTCATCGCTGGGGGGTAGGAGAGCCAGGATTTTTTTTCTTTCTCTGCCTCCCTTTGAAGGGTCAATCTCCTGTTATTCTTTCTAGACATTATTCACCTTCACACTAATGAAGACTGGCTACTTGACCCAATCCATTCTCTCTTCGAATGCCAGCTGGATTGGAATTGAGGTTTTCGGGAAGACGTGGCATAGCAGAACTTGTGTTTCAGACAATGGTGTTTAAATAAAGATGAGCTGGGCTTGGCGCCACACCTACGCCTGGCCTTCCCCAGCCAAAGCAGAAAGAGGGTTGCGCAACTCTTCAAGCAGTGCAGGGCTTCAGTACAGCTGGTTCTGCTTCCTTACCTTGCAAACAATCACCAAGAGTTACAGGACTCTCACCAGGGGCGTTCGCTTCTTTTGCCTCCTCAGCCTCACTACATCCCTGAGTAGTTGGTTGTGCTTCCAATTGCCCTTCTTCATGCAGAGCTGCGGGAAGCCTGGACAAGTGACGTGATTGTCCTGGCTCCAACAGTCCTGGAGGTGGTCTTTGAGTTTTGGTTTCCAAGCACCCAGGTGTTTTAACATCTAACGCTTTCTCCTGTGGGATTTCAGCCGGGTTGGATCTTCTCTGGCTAAGTATGAGTTAAGTGAACCCAGCTGTTTTGGAGATTGGGTCGCTGAATTGTTCTTTCTGGCCCCTTCTGCCTATTACTTTGCTTTGGAACAGAAATTCCACTGCATCTGCCTGCGGAGAACTCAGCTGCATCTTCTTGGATCCATCAGCACTCGCTGACAAACAAGGAAACTGGATCCATGTTGGACACACACTCTTCTCAGTTATGTACTTTGTCTCTCTGTAATCCCTCTGGTATTGACAAATAGAGCTCCGGGACACGGCGGCTGTGACAGCTCCCGCAGACAGCATGTATTAGCATTCGCATTATCGTCCTGGCCCTGACGGCCTGGGCACTGGAGAGAGGATTAAGTGATTAGTAGTGTGTATGTTACAACCATCTTTTTATTCCTTGGGACTTTTCAGTTTTGCTCACTTCATAAAGACGTAAAAGAGGGCTCTGAGTAAAAACAGATGCATTTATATGTTTCTTTGGGTCTGATGGGCAGCATATGTCGCAGACATTTGGATGATGTTGAGACATTATCAAATTTCTTCATGAACACAGCAAATCATCTTGCCTTTGTGAAAACTATTGGTTTAAGGGCTGGCTTCAAGGTATATTAATTAAAAAAAAAGATCTGTTTGCATCTCCAGTGTATTTTATTTGATGAACTGGCTGGCCTGTGAAGGTCTGTAGGTTGGATAATCATTTAGTAAACTTTGTTCCCTGGAAATTTACTAAACAGGAGATTGATGTCAGGGTGCTTTGACCCTGAGATGGGTTTAACGTGATTGTTAAATCTAATCATTTTAAATGGCATTTTTTTTCCTGATTTGATCAAATTCTCTAAAATATTCATCCACAAGAAGAGGTCCAAAGAAATGTTAGTCATCTCTCACACTGTCATTTTTATGAGTAATATTATCTTATACATTTCTAGGGTGGAAAAGTCTATCACAGTCATTACAAATTAGAACCTTTAGTCTTTATCATAGAGTTTGATTTTTACATTGTAAAATGTTGACCTCGTATTTTACATGTTAATATTCCTCTTCACTCATTCAACAAGCTTTTTTTTTTTTTTTTTTTTGAGATGGAGTCTCGCTCTGTCGCCCAGGCTGGAGTGCAGTGGCGCCATCTCGGCTCACTGCAAGCTCCCCATCCCAGGTTCACGCCATTCTCCTGCCTCAGCCTCCTGAGTAGCTGGGACTACAGGCACCTGCCACCATACCTGGCTAATTTTTTGTATTTTTAGTAGAGATGGGGTTTCAGCGTGTTAGCCAGGATGGTCTCCATCTCCTGACCTCATGATCCACCCACCTCGGCCTCCCAAAGTGCTGGGATTACAGGCATGAGCCACTGTGCCCAGCCTCAACAAGCTTTTTATTGAGCATCTACTATGTGGAAGTGGCAGAAATCCAGAAAAATTTTAAAAGTATTCTTTGCTCCCCAAAAGTCCACTTTCTAGTTGGGAGAAGATATTACTATTATATTGGTTGTAGAGCTGTTACAAGAGAATTCATAACTGAGTACCAAGTGGGATACAGCAACAGTCTGTCGAGTGGATTCAGTGCGGGGACGAACCTGTCATGATGCAGAAGGTAGACAGGGCTTTATAGAAGAGGGGAGATTAAGATGGCCCTTGAAGGAGAGTCATGCTGGAGGGGTAGGGGAAGCAATTAGTAGTTCATATATGGAGTTCAACGTTACATTGGAAAGTGAGATCAGGGTGGGCAGACTTTGAATCATCCCATTTTGGGAGTTTTTACTCAGAGCCCCCCTCTTTTATACCTTTATGAAGTGAGCAAAACTGAAAAGTTTCAAGGAATAAAAAGATGGTTGTAACATACGCACTACTAATCACTTAATTTTATCCTGTAGGAACAGGGAACCTCTAAAGCTTTTGGAGAAGAGATGTGAATGAGAGTGCCAGTTTAGAAAGGACGCTAGTTTGATTAGAGTTCACAGGATACACTGGCGGGTAGGATGAAGCAGGTGGCATGGAGACCAGGCAGGCGACCTCTGCAGTGATACAGGGGTAAGGTTAGGAGGGCCTGAACTCTAGTTACCATGGGAGAGAAGAGTGAGGTTTTACAGAGGAGGAAGTTAACTAAGCTGAGTTGTTAAAAGTAGGAGTAACTGACATTTTTGGTCCCCTTCCTCTCTGCCTGAAAAACTGTTAAGCACTTTACATGTTTTTAACTTTTACAGAAACTCTGTGAAGTGAGAGCTCTCATTAGTCCCATTTTCAGATGAGGAAACCGAGGCTTGCAGGAGTCAAGTAACTTGACCAATGTCACATTGTAGGAAGTGGGAGAGCTGGGATTTGAACTTATACTTCAAACTCTTAACCCCCAAGTGTGCCTTACTGTCTGATTACTGAGGGGATGGGGTGTTGGGGAGTGGCGAGGAGAAGTAACTTTTTAAAAATACTGGAAATGTAACTTTTCAAAATAAATTTTTTATTATTATTTTCTTGGACTGAGTTAAATAACTAATTTGAAATAGAGATGAATAAATTATATTTTCAAAAAGAAAAAAGAATAACTCTGTGGGTTAAAAGTGAAGTTCATCCAAAATGTCCTATCTTAAAATAGATGCGAATTTCAGAAATGCAACACATGATGTTGACCTTAATCCTCTTATTTACATGTTCTCATACACAGAGTACTGTAGAACGTGAGTCTGCCTCTGTGTACCTGTGTGTAGCTGTCACCCAGGGACTCGAACAAACGTAACCTTGATTCAAACTTGAGGGAAAAAATGGCTGTCATTTTGACTTTTTAAAAATTATCTGTTTATTTCCCTTTCTTTGTCGATAACTCCTAGTTGTAATGCTGAAATCTTATAAATACGGCACAGTTAACTTGCAAAAGGAGCTTAGTGTTCTCGGGGCAGTCCAAGTTGAACAACACATAATTTGGCACAATTTGGCGGGTCTGAGTTTAAGACAAATACAAGACTGAGAAGGTATAGAGGCTTTATTATTTCTAAGTGAGTTCATGTAGTGTACACGGGTTGAGCTGATCAGAGCTCTCACCCGACCCTCCCTCTGCCCCATCCAAGGCATTTATTCCTTATGCTTTCATAAGTGTCACATTCACAGCACAACATTTCTCCTTCCCAAATAGGCATGTTGTTGTTTCGAATTAACATCTGTGCTTACTGCAGAATAGTGAATGCCATCTTCTTTTGCCCCGCTGGCCCTGATGGTGTCACTGAGGCTTTCAAAGCAGAGTGACCAGGCACAGCTATAGTTTTCTGCAGTTTCAGGAAAGGGGTGGAGGAGGGGAGGGCTTCACTGTCTAGTCCCACTGCTCAAAATGACACTGACACACAGAAGAAAAGGATATAAATGTAGAATTGCTTGAATTCTGGAGAAAAAGACGAAAGAAAACTGAGATGTGTCAAGTATCTATGTACCAATCACTATATTGTATAACTTGGTGGCCCTATACTCATTTCCAGATTTTGCCTAGCATAATTATAATATAATTCCCTTTCGTTTTCAGAAATATCCTGGTTTGGATAATAAATTATCTTGTCACCCTACGTACACTGTGAATGATGACTCTTTAGGCAAAATCTTATTATTTCCATTGTTCACCTCTGGAAGCTGGGTCTCTGAGAGGTTAACTACCTCAAAGCCACACAAGAATCTGGCAACATAGATTTTTCTTTTGCTTCATCATGGTACTTCCCAAAGACTATTTAATCTGTACCAAAAGAATAGTACTCATCTAATAGGACAAAGTAATTTATTTTCAAAGCTGTTTGCATGGAAAGCATGTTCCTTCAGTGTTTCCCAGTGGTGGGGAGCTGGATTTGTCCTGTGTTTCCAGACGTTGTCTCTCACTTTGTCCCCTTGTAAGACTAGGGGTGAAATATGGAGAAATAGATGAAGAACTGGTGGTCACAATGGAGGTTGTGATATGAGCTCACGGATTTCAGGAAAGGTAACAGAGCTATAATAGAATCAGACGTAGAACTGCTCCTGGATATTATAAAGTTGGTGACTAAGCCAACCCACATGCCAGAGCCAAGGATGCTAGTATCATTTATAGTGTCATGCTTGTGCACTATGTTCTGTCAGAAAGTAATAAGGTGCTTCATCCAGTGTGTGTTTGATATTAGCCAATCACAGACGACTGAGGTTCTTTCAGGCATTTTGAGTAAACTTACACTACAAGAAATACGATGGATAATAAATAGCCTGATACAGCAGGTCTGAAAACCTTGATTCCACCTCTGCATCTCACATTTACTAGACAGGTAACGTTGCTCAAAGAATAGACCTTTCTCGGATTCTGTTTCCTCATCTTTAAAAGAGAAAAAAAATCTGACATTAGAGTATAAAGGGTCCCTACTAGTTTTTGTATACAGAGTTTTACTAGAACACAGCCATCCCATTTGTTTACATATTGTCTGTGTCAGTTTTTGAGCTACAACATGAGCTGAGTAGTTGGAACAGAGACTTTATAACCCACCAAGCGTGAAACATTTACGTAAGGCCTTTTACAGAACAAGTCGGCTGACCACTGGATTAAGTGATCACTGAGGACACTGTCACACTTTGTATGTGTCTAACTCCAGGAAAGGAGAGTGAGAAAGGGAAGAAGGTGTCGTCAGAGTTACAAATCTAAGTAAAAGACCCAGAGCCCACCTTGCAAGCAATCCACAAGTCAATTGTGCTAACAGTGAAAGGTGCAGCACCCCCTACTGGCCAGGAGGACTTTTTGCATGTAATATGGGCAGGACGATACAGAGAAAGATAAAAGCTTTGTGCGGGTGTCATACCGTAAGACTCGTATTCAATATGATGGTCACTGCAAACCAGCAGGGAAGTTTCTGTTTGCCCCTGATGCCTTTGAATTCATAAAGCACATGCTTTAAGTAGAGAAACGTGGGGAACTTGGGTCCTCCAGCTAGAGTGTAAAACTTCTTGGGAGAGAAGTAAGACTGAGAGGACAGGGAAAGCATGCTGAAAAGAACTTAATCATGGCGAGCGAGCCAAAGCTAATAAACAGTGCTGGATGGGTTCTCATGGTCTCAGACAGTGGGTGAGGATGGTTATTGTTGCAATTGCAGTAAATCATACTAATCCCAATGCCAAAAGCCACTTTGAATGATGAAGTGAAGCAGCCTGCGATGGCGACCAGGAGGCTCTGAGTTGCTGCCCCAGCCGGGTGGGGCTGCTGTCAGCCCTCGCAGGCAAGCTCTGGATCCTGTCTTAGGGGCCCAACTCTGCCTTCAGAGGAGACTTGCGGAACTGGCAGATTTCAGTTTGGTTTGGAGTTTTGTTGTGTGTGTCTTGGCAGGAGGTGACCCTCCTCCATCCACGGAGCGCCCCGGATTAATGGCTAAAGTAACACCTACTGGCGGGACCGACCCAGGCTCAGAGCAGACTTTCTGCTGTTGATTCATGACTCCTCTTGACTCACAGCCTCATTCCGTTTTGTTGGCTGTTTGAGGCTCCTGCCCTAACGTCCAAACTTCGTGGTATGAAAAACACCCTGAAGAGTAGGTGTGCTCTCCTTCCCAGCATGGAGCACGTGCTCTGTAGTGGGGAAACCTTGTGGGGGAGACAAGAGGACAAGTTGTTTTGCACGGTAGTGAATCCCAGGGCAAAAAATAAAATTAGCTTTAACTCACAAAGTCTTGACCTGGGCGCTTTCTTTCTTAAGTTGCCTTGAACTTCTGCTCAGAATATTGGGGAATGGTTGAAATGAGGTCCTAGGAACCTAAACCCAAATGGAAACTTGGGTTTGTCCCTTTTAGCGTCGATGAATTGAAGTGAGAGTTGCCACAACCTCGATGTGTTTGCTTCTCCTCCATGATAAATATTTTTGGGAATAAGGTTGGATAAGGAAATATATGACTATATGTTTGTTTACTTATATATATTTTGCCCTTTCTCTGAACCCTAATTGTGCCAAAATGTTCTATATTCTTCTACTTGGTAGAAGGGTGGAGATATTTATTTCACCCCAATCTCTCTTGGGAATCTAAAGAAAATAAAAATGTTTCCTGAACATTTTTAAAATGGGTTAATTTACCTTGGAA